TTCTGCTGAGCGCCTGCAGAAAAACGCGAGTTTGCGGACCGCCTGCCCCCGGCGATTGTCTGAGTATATGCTGGTTCCCTGCTCTCACTATGTTTCCGTGATCAGCATGTCAACCCCCCCCTGTGCCAATAACCCCGAAGCTCAAGGTATTGAATCGATAAGTCTAAGTACTAATATTATTCGCAATAGCTTCGTAGCTTGAGATTTGCAAAAAATCGATAACCTCAAGGGTAATCGATAATCCTAGAAACTAATTTTGTACGTAGTCAGCGCGTCCACTCGCCACCTGTGCCAGTTCCCAGCCCGCAGTTCAATTTTCAAAAAATCCGTAAGATCGATACTGATCACTAACAAAAAGTAGCCTACGACTCTCACCTAGCCGCGAAGTACATGTGTGCAAAGTTTGGCCTGGATCGATTTGAAAAAGGATTGTGTGAAACTAGTACGGGTATACTAGGTGCACACATCAAATATAAAGACAGCTTTCGGATGGACAGACATTGCTTCATATATCAAATGTTGCAAAGAAGATATACTTTCTAATTTGAATACTCGGATCATAGCCGAAAAACAGTGGTAGAGAAAAATACTATTGAAACGAGACTTTTGAGGACTTCTACCAAACATGCATGTCATCGATTTGGAAGCAGAAGGAATGCCTAGTTCTGTAGTTGTGACAGCGATGTCTCAGAATCATTATCGGGAAGGACTGGGACTAGTGGGTATATTCTCTTGTGCTCCTTCAAAAAATGAGATGAGCTGAAGGGAGAAGAAGATCGATGTTTGGACTGCTCTTCTTGCTCTGTATAAAACAAATTCTGCTATGTGTCGTGTTATTGAGTTGGTCTTTTGATCTCATGAACTTGAGCAGCAAAGCTAACAAATCTTCAAAGAGAATTTTCTGGAGTAGGTGCATATCACGTTAGCTATAGCGTCAAAAGGTGTAGATGTTCGGGAACTCTAAATACATGATTAATAACGCATTCGAGCACTTTTCTTCCTCAAATATATTTGTTGCTTTTTTTACAACTATTCTATCAATGAAATACTTAGATACTTAAATACTTAGATGGTCCGTCTTCACGTGGCGTGCGGGCCTCAGCACAAAAGTTTCCATTTGTCCCTGTCCCTCGTTTCAGACATTCACGATCTTCTTGGTTGACGTCGGTGGCTGCGTCCATGAGTGCCAGGTGCGATAATCGTATTCAGCTAATTTCGCAGCTGGTCCATCCGTTTCAGGATCACGTCTGCCCATCTCGTCGGTAGTCTTCCTCGGTTACGTTTGGCTTCGCGAGGAATCCACTCAGATGCATGATGTGACCGGCCCATCGATGCTTCGTTTTCGCAACGTATTCCGCTGGGTCACGAAGACGGGACATTCTTCTCATATCCGTACTGCGAAATCCGACTAGATATTGCTAGTGTCGGGTCATCTTCAGAAGACTGCGCTCAAGCGCTCGGTGGGTGATCCGTAAAGCTTTCGACGTGGCTACAGTGTTGGCCCAGGTCTCAGCTGCGTAATAGAGCGCCGAGAGAACGGTTGAGTCGAACAGGTGGGCACGAAGCTCCGGATCCGTCATTTGGTCATTGGCTTCCTTCAGAGGCCCGCAGGCGGCTCAGGCTGCTCTTCTTCTCCTGTTGAGTTCTTCCCTCAAGTCGTTCTCCATGTTCATCGAACGTCCGAGATACACGTAAGAAGACGTCTCCATAATCGGGATGCCCTTCATTTCCATTTCTGCATCTTCGCAAAAAGCGTTCCTCATGAACTGAGTCTTCTTCCGATTCTTCCCTACTTCGTTTAGTTCTTTCAGCATCGTCTCTGCTTCAGTGATATATTGCTCGAGAACAGAACGATATTCATCCGCAAAACGAAGGTTGGGCAGGAATCTCCCATCAACTCGTATGCCTCTCTCTTCCCAGTCCAGTGATTTTATCACCCACTGCAAGGCCGCGGTGAACAGCTTCGGCGAAATAGTGTCGCCTTGTCGAACCCCCTTTCCTATTGGAATGGTCATGGGACGATAATAGCTGCTTCGTTGTTGTACACCCCTTGCAGCAGTCGGCTAGTGTCCTCACGTGAGCTGGGTCCACTCCTTGATCGACTAACGCTGTCGAAGGCTTTCTCGTAGCCGACGAAGGTTAGGACGAAAGGCAGTCGGTATCCCCGGCAGATTTCTATGACCCTCGAAACCGTCTGGATGTGGTCCATGCAGTTGAATCCCTTGCGGAATCCAGCTTGTTCTTGGGGTTGATTCATCCATTGTCGAGATAGGCGAACGAGGATAATCTTCGTGAAAAGTTTGTAGAGCACACTCAGCTGGCATATTGGACGGTAGTTCCGAAGATCTTCCCGTTCACCCTTCTTGAAGAGAAGGACGGTTCTCGATGTTCTCCACTGGTCGGAAATCTTCTCCTTCTGAAGGTAAGATGTTAAACGCGACGCCAGAACCTCGTGTAGATGGTGTCCTCCGGCTCGCAGAAGTTCGACGGAAAGATGATCTGGTCCTGCAGTCGTGGACGTCTTCATGGTCTTTATCGATATACGCACTTCAGCAGGTAGAATCCTTGGTGGCACTTCTCCAGTGGGAACAATGGGCATCAGCACGGGTGTTGAAGCGCGGAAGAGGTTGGTGTAGAAGTTCTTCGCAATAGAATCTTATATCGGGAAGAAGTCGGAGTCCCGTCTTCGTTCAATAGTGCAGCCAGCGGTACATGATGTTCACAAGGTCTCCCTTCGCCACTTCTTGAGACTTCGTCTTTCGGTGACTGCTTTCAGCATTTTGGCATGCCTGTACTTCCTGAGATCCTCCTGCAAAGCTGTTCTGCAACTAGCGTTGGCTATCAGTCGCTCGAGATGGGATGCATTCGGATCCTGTCTCAGGTATTCTTCTTTCGAGCAATTCCTTGGTGGTCTTCGAAATGCATTCCAAGTTCTACTCAGAAGTTACTGAGGCGCACTCTCCGCAAGCTCGCAGTCCTTTCAGAAGTCGTAGTCGTATGTTGGGTCCTCCTCGATGGGCTATTCACAACTTACTATGAGCTCTTTCAGCCAGTTATCGTCATAAACGACTTATTTCCTTCTCGCGGCGTTGTGCCAGACCTTCTTTTCCAGCTTTCAACCGAATCGTACCGTCGCTCGAAGGAGGCGGTGATCGTAACCACTGCAGAAGGATGGAACTACTGAGACATCGAGCAAGCTCCACCTTCGGTTGGTGGGAATGTGGTCGATCTCCGCATGAGTGGATTCGTTGGGCGATTCCCAAGTCCACCGGCGATGTTCTTTCTTCATGAAGATGGAATTTCCATGGAGAAGTCGTGCGGCGGAGAGAAGCCCGACGAGGAAGTTGCCGTTTTCGTTCTGAAGCCCATATCCAAACTTCCCGATCCTATATTCCTTTTCTAGTGGCATCCCGATCTTCACGTTGAAGTCGCCTACAACGAACTTGTAGAAGGACTTCTCGTTGCGGACGACCTGCTCCACGTCTTCGTAGAAAGCATCTAGTTCTGATTCGTCAGCTGCTGATGTTGGTGAGTAGCAGTTGATGATGCTGATGGTCTTCTGACGTGGAGGTCGTAGTCGAGGATGGCTATTCGAGGTGATAGGATCTCATGCGAATCGACAAGATGGACAATAGATGGGTGGACGACAAAGCCAACGCCTCCAACGTTTCGTAATGGAACCTTTTCACCACGAAAGATGGGGGTCCCATCACTCATCTGTCGCACTTCCTTCTTCGTGGACTTCGTTTCCTGAAGCAATGACGTGGTACTTGAAGTGCTCTGCAGCGTCGAGAAGAGCCTGGAGGTCGGCGTTTGTGGAGACTGTCCTGGCGTTGTAAGTGCAGAGCATGAGGCAGTAGTCTCCATGGCTTGTCGTCCTGGCAGACGTGTCGTTTTTGTCCAACCCGAAAGGCGCCCTGAGTACCCTGACATCGTCCTTGCTACTACCCGGCGCCGTAGGCAGTATCCGAAGTGCAGGGTTTATTTCTCTTCTTTTTGCTGATCGAGTAATAAAAATGTTTCCCCTACATGAGCAGACTTACTAGGAGCCAACTTTTGATTTCCACGAGGCGATCGCTGACCTCGGATGTGGAGCGGGGAGGGACCGCCTAGCGACCAGAAGAAGCCAGACGGCGGGGGACCTGGTGTCGCCGGTTCTTAGCTAGGCAAAGCGTCGAACTCTTTCACAGCTTGGGAGGCCCTACCAGTGTATACACTCGGCTGTGCATCGCAGTTCGGCACCCAGTGTCACCCCCACGCCACGATGAGGCGACCGACCATTGTGAGGGTCAGTGAAATAAGATGAAAAAACACTGAAGCTCTCCGAAAGCAAGGAAAGACGCTTCTCTTCCCCCTCCCCGGAAAGATTCTTGCACAGCCATTGCACTAGGTAGTGATTTATCTGAAAAGCATACCAAGAAATAGAGCAATCTCTATCTTCTTGTAATTTTGATTTCAAAGGCTGGACAATCCAATAAATTTGGCAACTGAAGATACAGCAACCAGAGCAGTCCACATTTTCAAACAAGCTTCCTCTCCTCTGCACCTTCAGTTTTGAGGATGTTTGTTAAGGGGTTTTTAGCACTAACATCCTGCCAGACCTTAGGGAAAAGTGTATGGGAAGAGTTTAGTTCATAGTTTAATAAAAGTTGTAGAATATAATCAAAAGAGATGTTTTCAAAGATATTACTTTAATCAAGCCTCTGTTGGCATCAATTTTGAAATAAAATGTGCAGGTACACATTCATGCAAGTGCATGCAAGTCCAACTTATCAAAACTTTCCCAGATAGCCAATATTCGACGTACCTGGACATCTGAAAGAATTTTGGTATATGATTTAGGACTCACGGAAAAATCTGCTAATGTTATAAAGGTATTTTTATAGATTAAAGGTTAGCATTTACTTTCCTGTATCAATTTAGAGCGACCCTTTAGTTGATTTACGTACATTCCCCTTTAAAAGATATCCCATTTTTGTAGCAGAGCTAATGGAGTACAGATGGAAGCCGATTGTTATAGCAGTAAGTTCTTTATCACTAGGCCTTGCGCAACTGCATTCGTATTCAGATGGCACTAAAAGAGTTTGATGTCATATGGTACATGGACACCTCCGTGCGATGGCAGAAAGATTTTCGAGAATTCTTCTACAGAGAAGTTAAATGTCGCAAAGAAAAAAGAACACGGCTGTCAGTGAGGATCCTTTGTATTTCACAAGAGCACATCGGAAAAATTAGATTTCAGATTTCCTTTACGATCTATATTGTTTGGATATTGCAGCAAGGTGGCCAACAGTTTTCTGATTGACAGTATAAAACTGTGTTCAGATGTCCTATCTCCTGCATATTCCGACTCGTCACAGCATATATGCAGTCACCGACCTTAGTATGCAGACGTACAGCGCCTAATCTTTGAGTAGTGGAGACAGTGGCACATAACTAATTCTAATCTGCTATTGCTCGTTTACCAGCTGATTATCCGGCCTTGTCCGGCTAGCAGAAATCCGCGCTATGTACTGATGGGAAGAACTGAACGAAAAACACAACGATTTGCTTTAGTGCACTAGCCGCTGCGCCTCACACTCTTTAGACCTTTCCGATCCTTTGTCAATCCTATTCTTTTGCTCAAGCTCAACCCTAGGCATGTTCTCTACTCGGGCGGCATCGTGTCTTGCGCAAAATAGTTGGAAGTCTCTTGTGTTTTCCTCTCTTATCAAGACCTCTTGGACTAATATGAATGTATGCGTCAGCCATCCATAATGGACGCGGCTGATTGTCTTATTATCCACAGAGTTGAAAACACTTCTAGTTGTGTTCTATATGGTTGTTTCTGTACAGTCCACTCCACACTGCCTTATCGTCCACTCTATTCCCTGAAAACCTGCGCAGTTTTTGAGATATCTTCCTCTACAATACTATCTGCCCAAAAGTAACTGTAGCCAAGTCTTCTCATTTCTATGGTATCTAACTGCTACAATTTTTGACCGCCCTTCAGCATCTGCCCCATTCATAACAAGGAACCTTGCTGTTTCGAGTCACGTCTTGTGTCTTCTAAATTAGAGCTTTTGGTTTTTTTTTTGTCACTATTGATCATTCATGAAAGCGTATGGTGTAAATAAGTGCCTTTTACTATCATGCAGCGAAAACGGACTTGACTCAAGAAAATCTTGCAATATATTAGGCTGTGTAATAAGTTCGTTCGCATTTTTTGTTTCAATTTTTTCTCGGTATTTTACAAGACATTTGGCATATTGTTAGTATGCATTCGGAAGCTCTAAGTCTACTCTACCAAAATACTATCATTATATTCACAGTTTGTAAAAAGTTAAATAAAAAGATCGACTACAAACCAAAAAATCTGAAATGGCGAAAATCCCATTTTCGACAACTATGATATGCCGACCTTGAATGGGTTTGAGCGCTTGAGAAACAGCTCAAAAATTTTGCGATATGTATAAATAGAATACTATAGCTCCCGTAGATTACCTGTAGTGCTAAATCCTTTCAAAAACAGTTCATATTGTAAGCTCAAAAATAGGTATGTTTTTAGGTCTTTTTGGTGTCAACGTTGAGCATCTGAAGGCACCTCTGAAGAAAGGTGGTAGCCGAACAATCCAGGAATTGGCAGACATGTGGTCTATGATCGCTAAATCATCGAATAAATGGCTTATATAGTCAAAAATTCAGAATTCGAGGAACACATAGCCCACGGACGCGAGACAACGAACACCGCTGCGGCAAAGCCCTGCTACACCGAGTTTTGCAAAAATTGCATTAAACGGTCGGTGAAAGGAAAGGGCAATCGTAAAAAGTATCAGTAAATGCATAAATTCTTATTCAGTTGTTTTTCTTCGTTGTCAAGATTTTTGAATAAATTTTAACAAAGAATAACGGGAAAACTAAGGAAGAAAAAAGATGTCGAAAATGGGATTTTTGCCACTTCAGATTTTTCGGTTTGTTGTAGAATTATTTATTCAAGTTTTCAAAAACTGAGAATTTACTGATAGTATTTTTTACAGCAAACTTAGAGCTTTCGAACGCATACTAACACTATGCCAAATGCTTTGCAAAATATTGAGAAAAAATCAAAACAAAAAATGCGAACGAACTTATTACACAACCTAATATATCGAGAGCTTACATATCAAACGAAAGCAATTTGCGGATATATTCAACAAACTCTAAATGTGGTTATTTTCGAATACATGTCGGAAGTTTGCATCATCAAAGAAAAAATATATTCGCACATATTTAGAAAAAAAATTTAAATTCGCTTCTTTTCACTGCGCTCTTATTGCAAAAGCTCAGAGCTTATACCGCTGCAAATTATGGTAGTTCAAAAAAAAATGAGTTGGTATCCACTGTTAAGCTTTCATTTTTTGATTGCGAGCTAACAAATAAAGTAAATCGATAAATCAATCGCCGCAAAAAGTAGCCATTATGTGCGCTGAAGTCGGAAACATATGTATGCTAAGGTTGGCGCTTATGGGTTCATCCACAAAGATTTCTATTCGAAATGTACTTCCGGAAAGCGTTACAAACTTCGAGTTTCATATATGTATAGAGGCAAGCAGTCATCTAGCTAGCAAAGTATTTGCGCATTAAGATCTCTACAGTTTAGATCAGCACGATTCGAGACAATCTATCCGAAACATACGTTCAGGACATTTCGCTCAAGCATTTTCCTTTTTTGCGATTTTAAAGCCAAAGCAGTCTACTCTAATTCTTCCTACCCTTGTTAAGTATAAAATCACGTCATTGGTGCACAAATAAACGGAATATTAGGAGGAAGGATGTGCGACAGACTGACAACGAAATCTTACCATTTGTGACAGTTTTATAAACATTAACATTAACATTAACATTCTCTTCTGCCCATATACACTTTTTTTAACTATCATAAGAACGTTCGTTCTACCAATAGCATAACTACCATTCACCTACGTTTAGCTGATAAATTGAAGGATGATTTCTTTTGAGATATAAAATATGTTGTTTTATTTTAGGCAAGCTTGGAAAAATGCAGGCTAACTATTTACGCTTATAAACCTTTCTGGGGTGAGTAACATGTGCAAGGAAAGTATAACAGTGAACTTTTTTGTCAAAAATTCTCCATCTCCATCGTTTCTTCAAGCTTAACTAAAATCAGAATTAAGCAGCGAGCATATCAGCATGAAGTATCTCTCAAAAATAAAAAACTGTTGGTTTTAACTAAAAACTTTATTCTTACACAAAAAATAACACGCAACGAGAAGAACACAAAAACTTTGCGTAAGCTTGAATTGAGGGCTGAGGACGCCGCGCTTAATGCAGATTACGTGTCTCACCGTCACTCTCACTGTCCTGTCTTTTGGCTTGTCAGACACTTCGTACGAGCTTAACAAAACTAGAACTTACACTAAAAAACCCTGAAGTAGTGATAGTAATCTATTCAGGGCTATATGACTACCTTCCTACTGATATCGAAGCAGTCAAGAAAGATCCTTGCTACTGCGCAGGATTTACTTTTGTTGTCAAAACTACAGATGTTGTAGAACTATTGAAATGGTATGTTAAGCTGGCACGAATGTTCTCTTCGCAGTCTTTATTATTTGCAGGTACGTTTTATGTGCATTGCAAAAGGATTGTATGGGTCCCTCTGGAGCTAATCACACATGCACGTTTGCAAAAGACGACCAATTTACGAAATATGCGAAGTGCCACAGGTACTCCACTATAAGCACGCCTAATTTGGATGAATTCGAAACAATATCCAGTTTCGCTGTGCCGTGAATGTTACAGTGTTGCGCTCATTGCTTTAACTTAGTTTTCAGATTTTTTCAGCCTTTCGTATTCGACTCATCATTTCCAACATCAAACCACAACTGTCAAGCTCACCTAGCTGAAACTTCAATGGCAGAACTTTTTTGACATTTTTCTGTATTGCAACTCTCAGCGAGATGATTTCACACTGTTAGGCGGTCACCTCTAACAGCAGCTAACAAGGAAAGGGGTCAGTCGAAGTGGCCTTTCTGTGTGAGATGTATGCTGACTTGAATAGTATAGAACGCTGAATCAGAACCCATATCTACCTTTCTTATCTGCTGCGGGCTTTTGAGCTACTCAGACAAATCACCGAAACTTCCGCAGGACAAGCCCAATTTGCAGAAGTTCCGCAGGATTTTGTTCACTATTGCGAAAATGAAAACGTTGAAAACCGGAACTTCCGCAGAATCTCCTTCAAAATCCTGCATCAATTCCGAAAGATGCCAGAGGTTCCGCAGCACTTTGGCCCGCCAGAACGTTGTCTCGCCAACAACTAAGTACGTCATCGAACATGTCAGCCGTAGCGTAGAGGATAGTAGGTGGGTCTCACAGTCAATAGAGTGAGGTTCAAATCTCGCTTCGGGTTTTCTCTTTTCATTTTCATTTTCATTTTCATTAAATACGCTCAAGGCGTACCATAAAAAACAGAAACAAACAGTGTAATTGTTTTTTACACAAAGCACGAATAACAACAGAACATCATATGCTTCAGGCCCAGACTTCATAAAACTAAAGAATAACGACTTAGCTTGCAAGAAGACTGCTGGATATTACGAATGTCAATGATGAGTCATATCCACAGAGATGGAACCCATGCCCCCGCGTTAGCCAGCAAACGATCTTAAAGTATTCAAACAAGCAAACGACGGCGGGTACATACCCACCGGCCTGCCGGGGAGAGCCCAAAACTCCATGAGCATTGCCATATGTGCAAAACAGAATATCGTCAAGTACTGCACAACGAATGAATGCTGTTGTGGTTGGCATTCTTCGGAACTTCCGCAGCCCCTCATTTCGGAACTTCCGTAGCACGTTTACGGAATTTCCGCGGGTGACTTCCGCAACCGCTCTGGGGAAGTTCCGGTCATTCGTCTGAGTAGGAGTTTCGGAGGTTTTTATGGGCAAAAAATCAATGCATGATCAGTGTGAAAACAGTGTTGACTTTTCTTAGCGTTTCAAAATGGCGGAATTAAGTAGATACGTTTGGATTATGGATTTTTATTGCAAAGAGCAATCCGAAAGTTATTCGAGCCAAAAGGAAAATGTTACGACTGATTTTATCCAAGCTGCACATACAACTGATTTTATCCAAGCTGCACATACACTTTTTTTGCTCATAACTCCTCACTAGGGAACCCGCAGCAGATAAGGAAAATAGATTTGGAATCAGCGTTTCAGACTCTTCGAGGCAGTATCCATCTCATATCAAAAAGCCTTCTTGGCCAATCTTCCTTTCCTTGCAAGTATAGGCGATTCATCGCACGCAAAGAAAGAGCGTCACTAAGGACGCTGTCGGGGTCTCGCTGATGGAGCGCTCTTTCATCCCTCTCGCCGTCTGCTGTCTCTCTCCTAGGGACGAACTGTCGGACGTCCGGTCTGTGCATGCGATGAATCTTATATATACGTACGTGTTATAAGTAACAGCGCATGTAAAAATCTGAAGAGATTCGTAATTAGTAGCTTCCGTGCAATTTTATGAAAGTTACTGACAGGATGAGATACCTAACTGCATTTCAGATACGATCAATCCGTGGTCAATATTCTTCTGGCCAACTTATTTGAGCACAAACCCAATCGCTACGTCGTGTCTCAACCTGGAGGTGTAGAGTTATGGAGATTGAAGAAGAACGTCTATGGAAAAGAGTTTTGGCACATAACAAGAAACATATACTATTAGCAACACTAGGATTGTCGAAGCATATATTAGTCGGAGAGCATCGGCGCATCGTAATATAATGTAAACGCAAATTTTTGTACTTGCAATCAACTTCTATCTCTTATCACCAAAATTTAATTGTTGCGGTGTTAGTGAATGAATAAAGTTATGCCGTACAGGTTGTCAATGGTCCTTTATTCGTCATCAATGGCTTTACGGTTCGACGCCCAACGGACCACCTCTTTGTCCGTGGTGGTATATGTTCGTCAAGGACGAAATCAATAACCTTGTTTGGGTTTTCGAAGGCATTTTTGCTTCTATTAAATATCGCATTCTGGTCCCGCACCTGAGCAATTTGCAGTGTGACACGATTGAGACCGGGGATGCCATCTAATAGTTCACAGATCCAAAAAAACCCTTGTGAAGTAGTTCAAAATTATATCATCTGGAAGAAGTAAAACATATTTTTACTAGTCATTAACTCAACAAATATGTCTATATATCCGCAATCTTCATATACGACATTTTTCACAGCCTATTGTCTATTTTTTAAATAGAAACGCTTGATTTTGACTTTTGACTTCTGGCATAGCATATTTATCAAATATTTTGAACAAATCGTATCTTATGCATGCTCCACGAACATTCTCCTTCTACGCACATCACTATTTGTTTACCAATGTGTCACCTTTCTTTTGAAAACGTTAACAATGAAACTATTTGTATTGCGACCCTTGTTCCGCTTTTCAAGAACAAGTTTAGAACAAATTACAACTGTTTTTCCTATTGCTATATCGTTTGCCTTTTACCTAAAGCTTTTACGATATGATCTCCTTGCTTGTAAGTTTCGAAAAAAGGCATGCGAGTAATTTCCAAGTACCCTCTTTTCCCCCGCCTTAGAATCCTGACTTTCCTATCTGGATTAAGCAATTAGCCCAATCTTAATACATTTTTCTCAATAAACCGCGTTTGAGTGAAGGGTAATACATGAAGAAGTATAACTACCTGTCCAACAGTTTTTATTGTGGTAAAATTCAAATCCCACTACTTCGAGTTCCTCTCTTGTATTTTGGTGCTCGTTCAGATCATAAATTAGTATGTTATAAAATACAAAAATTATTTGACAGCATTTTTTCCATCTATTTGATATATGCGTCAATTCGTAATCTTATTTAAGCCGACAAGCTTAAGAGAATGTAGATTGTTAGGTTTGTCATTGTCTTGGTGTTAGTTTTTCAGCCATCGGGAAACTGGCAGTGCCCAAGTAATCTTGACGCCTAAAATCTTAAAAATCATGGTTCTGGACGTTGCGGACGTGTAAGCTGAATCTCGAGCCACGATCTCACCAAATTCAAATATAACAGATTTGATTGTATAATTTATGATACTCGTAACAGGCAAGAAATATGTACATGAGGTCATTTTTCAAGAAAAATTTGCAACTAATAACAGGTACGTTAAGCGTCTTTCGAGATCATTTAGAGGAGAAATGCACTTCGTAGTCAGTGACTGCTGTCGCTGAGACATAATGAAGATGTATTGTGATTAATTGCTTCTTCTAGATACCGCTGCGACCGCGCCGATGGAGAACCTGAAAGGTTTTGGGTTTAGATTACTTGAACATAATCAAAAAGGTAAATTTGCAAGAGGCAAAATATCTTTGAAAGCTTAAAAGTGGTTGCTCTTCTAAGGGCTTTTTTGGTGTGCACAAATAATACTTTTCAGTTTTTCATGGATTTTCGAGGGATACGAAAAATAAAAATTGCTATAACACTTACATCAGCTAGTCGTAGACGCCTGTATTGCCTGAATACCACATTTCCATTACCATCACGTACAAAGTTCGCAGATTTGTCGGATTTGAAGGTTTCATACCTGCAAAAAAATGAAAAATTCAAAAATTTTGCAAGAAAATAAGAAGTAAACTTACTCAGCAATCTTAGGGTTTGGTGGGTCTATGCCATAAGGAACGGCTTTGGAAATGAACTGCATGAGCTGCTGGTTCTTTATTTCTGTGTGTTTCTTCATAAGATTTTCGAATAGCTCAGCCAAAGGCTTCATTTCGACCACTGAAAAAATGAAAAATAAGTGTGAAAAATAAATAAAACTGTATTAGAAATGAATAGTACTTACCAGCTGCGAGCATCAGCAGGAATACAACAATAACTCTCGATACATAGACCATTACTATGAAAACCGTAATCGAACAAACGGTGAAGCGACGGCGGGTCGGCGTCTTATATAGTCCAACTGATACCATGATAGATGCACGTGGAAACTATACCCATGGGCGGGGTCACGCGGCCATCAACCAATCAGCGATGCGACGTGGGCGGGACGAACTCTGCGTCAACCACTCAGGTAGACAAATGGCTGGTTCGACAGGTTGGTCTTTCAACAATCATTGACGTCAGTCTCGTTCGACTTCGACGGAAGCGACAGCAAAATTTGACCGAACGTTGAGCTAGATGACTATCTGTAGCTATTTTCGGCTCGAGAATTTTTCACAACAAATGCTAAAACATCGGAAAAACAACTACCAGTGATGTGATTCTGATCAGACATCGCTAGTTGCAACCTAATTTCGGAAGACAAATTGTGACATCTTTGAAGGATTGACTGGTTTCTTGAAGTGCATGGATTTCTAGCAAACCTGGTTAGCAGAGAATATGATGAAGTGGAACAGAACATTTCGACGTGACGAAAGTGAAAAAAATAGAAGAGATGCAAGAAATTTGCAAAAGAGGCGCTAAATTCAGAATAAACGGATAAAAAATCTTTGATGAGTTTTCTATGAATAAATTGCCAAAAAAATTGGTGACAAAGTCGAGAAAGAGCAGATTTACTACTAATCCAAAAATTGTCAGATCACCCTATTCCGCAAACTTCCTTACTTATTCTACGTTTACTTAGCAGTCGGTATGTAACAAATTTATTACTTGAGTTACTGTGTTCACATATACTTATTTATGGTCGTTGAAATCTCTGACAGCGATTCTGCTCAAATTCAAGATTGCCAAAAATAGTTAGAAAGCTCAAATTTCCCTGTCACAATAACACAATTGTGATCTTTGCTGTTAACATTCCTTATTACTGACTTATGGTCGAAAAGTCTGAAGTTTATCTGTTAACTGACAATAACATCGTGTTTGCAAATTTACGATCATAATTTATTGCTATATTAATTTGGAATTCTTGTCATAACATCATATCACATTAAATTACGATGTTTTCATCATTTTAAGAATCCTACAAAACAATTTTGCAAAAACCAGAATTAAGTGTGTATGGTAGAAGTGACAAAAGATCTGTTGTAAAATGTTTTTACACGAGGTTACGGTGATTCACAGGGGAGTCGTAAGACCGTATACTTACCATACATTGCCCTGTGATGCGCGAACTAAGTAACACAATGTAAGTATCTCATCTTAAGTTCTCATGAACCCAAAGGCCATAACTAGTGCGTAATTCTTTATTCTCGATTTGTCACCTCTTGGGAACATTCGAGAACGCTCGACACAAACTACAGCTATTTACAGTCTCATACACTGTGGTCGCCTTTCTATCAACAATTGTGACGTTAGTGATTGTTGAGAGACCACATTTCAAGAGATCCCCCAGAAAGCTGACCCAAAATAACGCCCCCCTCCCTCCCCGCCTCCCAGAACAAAGATTTTTCTTAACACAATGATCCTACTTTAAACTGATAAACAAATCACATTTACCGTGAGAAGGAGAGACCGACCCCAATGCGCTTAGAAAGAGATCTTCGTCACGACCATGGAGAAAGAAAATGGTTCAAAATTTCCAAAAAACGAGAACTAGTGATAACGAGTAGTTCTGAGCATAATAGTCTTTATTTTCCTCTCAACTTGCTACTTCTACGGCACACCGAAGCGAATTTGAACATTGTTCTTTCTATCGTGTTTGTCACACTACCGAACCGGCTTTATTGTTCCACAATCGTTCATCTTTCAACCCTTGGTGGAGAAATTTGTGTATACCTGAACAGGATCAGGGTAAGCCAGCTAGATTACAGTACCCTCGCGTTAGCTTTCTGAATAACAACAATAATCATTTTTCTATCCAGGAACATCTGAATGTCAAAAACCAATCCTAACACGAGGATGACGAAGCATTTTATGCTATCCGAAAATGTCAACAACCACAGATGCGCAAAGATCGTATGATACGTTTTTGGATTGTTCCGCTAAGCTATGAACCCTAAGCACGTAAATATCATTTACGTCCTATTCCGAACGGCATGTGAGGTTCAAGGTTGAAATACGAGGAAGTGATTTTTCAGAGATCGGCGACAATGAAGACAAAGCCTTCTGAAAGTAGATTAAGGAGGCTCGGATTGCTCAGAATCTCTCTTGCTTCTGAATCAGCCTTTAGCACTCTTCTAAAAAGGAGATCTGAGATATGGTGAAGATTCTACAGGGTGGTGATTCATAATGCTTTCTACTCGTTCTATTCAGTTATAAGAGAAACCTGGGGCCCATCAGAATGCCTCATTTATTTAACTAGGGCAGGCGGTCAATAATGCATTTTACTTGCATACATTCTAAGCACTACCTCTTCTGCTAAAGCAGTCTGATAACCAGACAAGATATAAGTGTTCCGTCAATGAGTCAAATCTTTGAAAAAAATCTTGATCATCTTTCATTGTACCCCGACGGGTGACTATAATGTGGTAGATCAGAGTACACTTTTCAAAGACCAAGTAACCCTGCTTTAGGTAATCCTGCTCTGAAAAATTCATGTTTGATATCAGCCTTCCAAATCCAACAGTTAGTCAAGATTCTTTTGAATGTCAAATTTCGCTTCTTAATATCACCAATCAAGTTTTTTTCTGTTATTAAGGAACTTCAGACAAGCGCATAATCGCTCAAATATGATACCCATAATATCCGTGAGTCGATGCGCACGCAATTTTCGCATATTGAAAAGCCCTTAGCTTATGAGCTTAGCAGCTAGAAATGGCATATTTGGAATCAGCGTTACGAAGACTTCAAATATCAGGGCTCAGCACAGCTGGCACCGGGTCAAGCTGGATATCGTTTTTGGGGCGAAAGCAAAGGGGATATCGTTTTTCCGGGGTCCTGGGCGGAGAAGAGCAGCAAGAATGCCGCCGGCATGCCACCTGCATGTTGTCCATCAAACAAACAAAGGCGTTGTTTTCAGCCAAAACGCAATAGTATAACACCAAATTGGGTGTTTGCATGCGCGTTGGGGGACCCGAACTATGGTCCAAAAAAAACTATGAGAAATTATGTAAAAGGAAGCTGTGCTGAACTTTTTTCTGAATTAGCTGGCACCGTGCCAGGCGGTTGCCAGCTGAGCTGGTGTATCGGTGGTTGGTAGGCTTTATAGTAGCCTTAGGCGAAATAGCGCCTGGTAGATGTGTTATATAGAACACATTAGCTGTACTAGCTTTATTGAGACAGACGACGTGCACTCCTGGGTGCAATGGTAGAATGCTGACGATAACAGGCGGAGCAAAGTAACTCAATGGTATCACAGCAGGTCATGCTTATGGCATGACCTTTACGGTACTTCGGTGAGAGTAAGGATGCGATTGTAAGGAAGTGCCGACAATGTCGGCACACTCCGGCCAGCGAGGGAAATGAGAACAGCGAAACGGAGCACAAATATGACGTCTAGATATATCGAGGGTTCATTTGTCAGGATATCGCAATGGACGTTGTGGAGGTGGCAGACAGGTGACGGCAGGGCCCATATCAGAGGCGGTGTGATGAGTGCCATCTAGCGGAGAACTTGGTGTTGGAACAGTCTGGTGATACTGAAGAAATTCTACATTCATGTCTTTACTTGGAACTAAAACACAGAAGAGATCCAGCTTTGTTTCTTTTATATCAGTGGTGCTGATATACGTATCCTGTGAACGCCAGTCTTCATCGATAATCCAATCCGTTGGCTGAGACACATACGTCGTGATCTGTCTCAGAGCTGGGCCAGCCGGAGTACTTAATGAGTTGTCATTATCGTGGGTTATTGTATCAGTGCTCATTCCTTTAGGTCCAGTCCAGGTCTGCATTTATTGCCATTGATTTTGCAGAGTGCTCTAAGACTGAAGATTCACTGTCATTGTTGTCCTCATCCTTTAGTTTGAACAGCGTTCGTCTGTATGTTTCCATGCGATTTATGAGCTTTGAAGTGGGAAACTTCCTTCCGCTCCCTGCTAACTCTTGCAAATCATCTGCCATACGATCTTGCAAGAGATATAGAAACCTTCTGGCGTCAAAAATGGTTTCAAAAAGTCTTATCTCTTCTTCCAACGCGTCCCAATCCTTCTCCATCACTTCCTTTGCCGCTTTTGATTTGGCCTCTTTGTGTAGTTCCTCCAATATCTCGAAGTCCATTTGTAGCGATTCGATGCGGTCTTCGATATCCGTTTTGCATCTCGCTAATGTATCCAGATGGTCAGAGCATAGATCTTGGCGCATTTGGTCATCATCTGGAAGGATAATTTTCTCACCATGGCACGCGTACCTCTGCAGTAGTTCCGCGAGTTCAATGGTAGAGGTTCTGAATACATCTGTGAGGAAAGTCGAAATCCTCATTGTTGTTGTTGTTGTGCTGCTCTTGAGCAGGCACTTATCGGTCTTATTTGGCCGATGCACCAAAAATGTATAGGTGGTTGGTAGGCTTTATAGTAGCCTTAGGCGAAATAGCGCCTGGTAGATGTGTTATATAGAACACATTAGCTGCACTAGCTTTATTGAGACAGACGACGTGCACTCCTGGGTGCAATGGTAGAATGCTGACGATAACAGGCGGAGCAAAGTAACTCAATGGTATCACAGCAGGTCATGCTTATGGCATAACCTTTACGGTACTTCGGTGAGAGTAAGGATGCGATTGTAAGGAAGTGCCGACAATGTCGGCACAGCTGGCACCGGCACTTGGCTCACATAAGTTTTCATATTTTTTTACATAAAACGTATCTACACCGTAAAAGTTTACATACAGAGAAGAAACAACTTCACAATGTTTTCTTTTCAGCGTTTTATAGCCATCTGAAAATTACTAGGTCTGCTCCGCAGTCAAAATCGGCTTTTTCTGCTTCTCAACGTGTGATTCAACCACTTCAAAAGCTCAGAAAGCTGTGAAAAGTTGTTCCATGAAATCAGCATTCATGAAAACCACAGCATGCTTTTACGTAATCTAAAAATAATGAC